CCCCTGACAAGAGCTTTTCGACAAGCCTTCAGGGGTCGCTGTGGCATGTCTGTAAGGAAAGTTATTGCCATGAATTTATGTCATGTGAATTTTTGTACAAGTGTAAGAGGAGAGGGAGGGGGGAGGGGGGTTGTGGGGGGGGGTCAACGGTCATAGGCCCACCCCCCCCCCCCCCCCCCCCACAACACCAGCCACCTTGTACCATGACGTAGTAGATTGCGCCATTTCAAGGAGAGTCGTGATTCGGCGAGGCATCAGGCCTCTGGAGATGCTTGTCCGTGATTGGTGCATATAAGCTGAGGATTATCCGGCCGAGGTGGGCCCCTCGCTTGGCCCCAAAATTCATTCTTGTCGTGTCTTTGCTTGGAGAGTCTGTGACTTCCAAGCAAAGATCATATGAGATCATTTCCAATCCTAGGCCAAGGATTGGAAATATTGCCTACATAGACACCTTCTCTCATAGGTACCTGTGAGAGAAGAACTCAGGAAGGTTTTCTAGTGTTGAAGGATATCTTCATTACGTGACTTTATCCAAGCCGCCGTCGTGCAGTTTCGTACCGCGCCGTACTGAGGGCGTGCACGAACCAACACTAGCTATGAAGGCCTACCGTGCTTGTTGTCTCGCTCCAAAGTGCCAAGCCTTGTGCACTTGTGGCACCTCCCACCCACCTTGTGTCCTGTGTCTTGACACCGGGCCAGTCCTGGGGTCCTATCTGACCCCGTGAAGGACGTTACCTGGTTGATGGGGATCTGGGAGTTCTTCTACTCCCCAAGCCCGGCCCGAGGCCAGGCTTGACTTGTGAGAGTTTGGTCCACTAGGCTGTTGCTTGGAGCGGCCCGCAGGCCCACATACCCACCACAGCCCGGTGGCGTATGTGGGACAGCTTCCACTCCAGTCTACTTCAGCTCCAGTCTACTTCAGCTCCAGTCTACTTCAGCTCCAGTGGGGTAGGGATGTATGGGAGTGTCGTGTGAGTGAGACCGGTCTGGAGAAAGAGAGTTAGTACCTGAATTCTGTTTTGGTGTATCAGATTCAGAAGATGGCTTCGAAGCCAGTGGTCCGTCTTGACATTGTCTATTAACACCTGTGAGGTTTGTAATTGTAGACGCATGAGTTACACCGGGATTAACGTCAAGTTGAGGCGAGGGCCCAACTGTGAGAGAGGACGTGCGTACGAGTACACGAGGTACACAGTTAACTGTGTGGAGTTGTGACGGATAATTACTGTATATCCAAGGGCGGAAGAAGGTCTGTTTTATTCTTTCATGCTCTATGTCCATATATGCCATGTATGGGTTATCTTTCCAGAGTAACCAGTTCCGGCAGTGAAGTTTGTAACGGGAGATTTCCCTGGTGGTTAATTGATACATATATATCTTGTCCAGGGCATTTTATACAGTTGTGTGTTGTGTGTTTGGGGCTGGGAATTATTATTGATGTAATTCACTCTGAAAGTGTGACTTTCAATTGCACTGGGATGCAAAGGTGTACCGTGTTGTGATATCTGTTGACAATGTCCTTGGTGTAGTACGTGGTGATCTTGTGAAGGATTCCGTGAGAATTTAAGAAGTCGTTAACGTCATCCCGGGGGAGCACATTGCTTAATGAGGGTACTGCTGTGTTGCAAGAAACTAGTGTCTGTGGGACAGTTAGTTGACTATCAGTTCATAGTGAGTTCACAGAGATGAGGGATTTGTCGCGAGGGCGACGTTAGTAGTGAACATAAGTTGCTCTAGATTAATTAACCGCCAGTGGCACGGCAAATTAGTGGCTCATAGTCAATTAGGATAATGATTTATCATGGGTTGACTGACTGTCATGAGTGAAGTCAGATGGAGCTGGCATAACTCGTTGAATTAATTATATCTGTCTGCAGGACAGTTGATTAAGCACTCAAACTTAATCAAGGGGATTAGCGCCCGCCACCAAGTGAGTGAATTCACAGTGTTGATGTTGCCCGCTGATGCAGGATGAAGAGTACATAGTAAATTAGAGTAATTAACCCTCGTTAATGTAATTTTGTCATAAAACCGGAGAGACACCTGTCGATTGGGTGACAGCAGTGTCGATCACAACTTGTCTGAATTAATAGGCTGTCGGTGTGACAGTAATTAATTGGGAATTACTCACAGAATGCTTGACGGGTCAAGTGTGGTGTAATTAAGGGCCTTCGTGGTATTGTTGTCAGTCGAGTGTCGTTGAGACTCGATTGTGTTAAAGTATTTGAATTGTTGCTGACTGTTGTGGACAGTCAATTAACGACATTGTTATTAAATTCAAGTAGTGTACTTTTACTATTGTTGTTTGTGTCTTGAGAGACAAGTGTTAACGTAAAACTTGATAAGGGGTTATCAGTGTTGGATTACCCACCTAGTTACTCTTGTTATCTCGCAGGGAGGGCTGCGAGAGGCAGAGCAAGTTGTGATTATAGTATTTATCTGGCGGGGAGGACTATGAGGAATATTGGTGGCAAGCTTGTGTCAACAGTGGGAACACTTCTGTTCAGTTAGTGTCATTATTCAGCACGCGATTACGGGTAGGATGCCGTGGTTCTACTAGGCTGTTGAATTAGCTGTATCTATCGTACCACTGGAAGACAGTAAAGTAACGTAAACTCGTCGTTGTAGTAGTGTTAGTCTTTTGTTGAATAAACTGTTATTGTTTATAAGAAACGGTCTTTACGTTCAGTCAGACGATAATATTGTCCCACTTACCAATGTTCTGCAAAGTCTTTCTTCCTTATGAATCTTTATGTAAATCTGTTCGTGAGTCTTGAATCAAATTCATAGCGCCACACTTCCAGAAATACGAAGTTACCGTCGGTTACCCTGAATGGTGTGTTATCACTAGGAGGAGCCAGCGATCTAAGCGGATGGGATTTCACCCTAAGTGGAATCCTTGCGGTTTGCTCCCGCATTCCTATGGTCTCAGGGTTAAAGTAAAAGCTGCATCTAAGCAGTCCTTTCTGTTTGAGGTCTGCCTCCCACGAGAGGTAGTTACACTAACGTAATATCAATAGGATAAAAATCTCACACTAATCGCGATACGAGTCCAGATGTAACGATTGGTGATTGGTCCAGATGCTAACATTGGTGAACACATCGCTGCTACCATAGTAACGTTTAATGACAATCAAGTTCTGCTGTTATTGCACAACTATGGTAACACTGTAATGATTGCTAGTAACCTGTAACCCTACAGCTGTAATGACTTGCATTGATATAATCCCAAAGAACTGGAAGATTTCGCCCTCACAGCAGAAAATGCTTAACCCAGTTATCAGGGGGGGGGGAGGAGGGAGAAATGACTAAGGTGTTAAAAATATCTTTAAAATCAATTACAGACTGGATGAAAGATAAGGTTACTCTTTTCAAAGATATAAATGCTGCAACCACTTCTTCTTCTTAACCTTTAATAATAAGGCTAATTGCCTCGGGAGGACACTATAGTCAACTAACGCCGAGTGCTCAAGGAATTTATCCTTTTAAATACTTATTGGGTAATGGAATTTATCTTACATTTACTTCATGAATTACAAGGGAAATATTTTTACTCAGAAAAATGCTCATCAGATCACAGGTAATGTCCAAAAGCAATTCAAGATCAATGTCTCAGAATTAAGTGAAATAATATATAAAATTCACAGTAGATAATTAACGGTAATTTTATTTAATATTGGGGATTAATTTACCCTAAGCTAGTAACCTCCTATTCCTTAAGAGTGGACTACGGATTGTATAGGAAACTCAGACAATTACCTTTATCATTGCCTCTCAGGCGGTGTTGTGCCCCCCACCCCCCACTGGTTGATCATCCCACCCCCCCTGTAGTACTCCCAGTTCACGCTAACAATCTTTTCCTCTGTATCCTTCAAGGTGACGTTCGGCTCCACCCCCTAAAGCTTATCTTGCTCTAGAAGCTTCGCCCTTTCCTAGGCCTACGTCCAATCCATTTGAACCAGGCCTGGGTGTCTGCACCTTCTACCAGTGGCAAGTTATACCTGGTCCCTTGTCCAATGAACAAACTTTAAAACTCCAGAAGGCGGAGTTATCCCACAAAACAGGATACTACTGATAAAACCCTACAGAGGGGTGACGTAATCAACAGGCCTCTCTGTAATTCGAAACGGTTGGAAAAGTTACGCCCTCGCTGCCCAGAGGAGAGGAAAACAATTAGAAATATATGACTTACAACCACTGGCCAAGAGCTGGGACTGAGAGCTGCTTTGTTAAGCAAGGCCATGAAGAGAAGGGAGAAGGGGGGAAGAGAGAGGAGAGACGTAACATGTCCGGCCGTTACACAGATGCTTAAGGCTGGAGACATCAAACTCTGCAGGGCCACTGGTTGTTGTTAAGGGATGGTCATAAGGGGGAGTCTTATCATTATATAGTAAGGATTCTATCCTTACTAAGATTTATCCAACATATTATTTTCGATGTGGTGATTAAATCTTAGTTTGTCTTATGTATTGCCTTTATTTATTGATGAAGACAGTGCATAGTGAAAAAAATGTGCGGGTTCGAATACTCCTTATGGCTCCTACTGATTTTATTACTGATAAATCACGTTAATGTGATTTCATGGTGCAGTGTGTAGTGAAGATGGCTACAGTGATGAAGAGAAGGTGTTGAATGGTAGGGAAGGTGTTGGAGAGAAGGGAAAGTAAGGTGTTGAAGGGTAAAGAAGATGGTGAAGGGAATAGGTAAGGTGAAGGAGAGGGGAGATGTTTAATTAAAGAGGTGGGTGAAGGGTAGGATAGGCGGTGAAAGGTATTGAAGGTGGAGAAGAAGAGGGAAGGTGGTGTTAGGTAGGGAAGGTGAAGGTCCACCGGATCACTCATGCCTGTGCTTTCTACCGTCTCTGCCCGAGACGCTATGCATGCTAGTGGCTTTACAAGAATGTAAAACTTGAAGGCTCTGTACTCTAATAAGCCCACTGTACCTTCTTGTATATAAATAAATAAATAAATAAAAATAACTTGCCAACTGTGTGTCCACAGCTGAGAGGAAGACATCACTGGGCAAGGACTGGCACTCATTCTGTCTCAAGTGCGAGAAGTGCAGCAAGACACTGACGCCGGGGAGCCACGCCGAGCACGAGGGCAAGCCCTACTGCACTACCCCCTGCTACGGCGCCCTCTTCGGCCCTGGAGGTGAGTCCTGCTGGGTCCTGGAGCAACACCTGCTGAGTCTTAGAGTCCCACCACTAGGGATAATACTACTGCCCTGTGCTACGGCGCCTCTGGAGGCGAGCGCTGAGTGTGGCGGCTTGTGTGTGTTCAGGAGGCCGGAGCACCCTGAGGCAGTCAGTGTTCCCAGCCCACACAAAACGATCCAACTGGGGGGGCTTGACGGCTGAGTGGACTGCACTCGGGGTTTGTAGTCCTAAGGGTCCGGGTTCGATCTTTGGCGGAGGTGGAAACAAATGAGTAGTTTCTTTCACCATGATGCGCCTGTTCACCCAGCAGTAAATAGGTACCCGGAAGTCAGACACCTGCTACGGGCTGCTTCCTGGGGATGTGTGTGAAAATTAGGATTAAAGACTTGCCAGAAACGCTATGCGTGCTAGTGGCTGTACAAGAATGAAAGAACTCTTGTATATATGTATAAATAAATAAATAAATAAATGAAATAAAAACTGTAAATAAACAAAAAGCAGGCGGGGCCTGGGGACCCTTGACGCGTCTCGGGGGTTTTGTCTCGGATAAAATCAGGAAATTTATATATGCACATTAGCGCAAAAATTGCATATATATTTACAATTTATCGGCATTTTTTGCGTAATGTTAATATTAGTTTATCAATTCAGTCTCCGTGATGTAGTGGTAAGACACTCGCCTGGCGTTCCGCAAGCGCTATGTCATGGGTTCGTATCCTGGCCGGGGAGGATTTACTGGGCGCAATTCCTTAACTGTAGCCTCTGTTTAACGCAACAGTAAAATGTGTACTTGGATGAAAAAACGATTCTTCGCGGCAGGGGATCGTATTCCAGGGACCATAGGATTAAGGACTTGCCCGAAACGCTACGCGTACTAGTGGCTGTACAAGAATGTAACAACTCTTGTATATATCTCAAAAAAAAAAAAAAAAAATACTGTGTGTAACATTCAATATACTTTAGTTAATGTTAAATGCAGCAAATAGAAATGTTCGTTTTCTATTTTAAGATTATTAAAGAAAATAGATTTAAGGATTAACTAATGAAAACTAATTTCTTTGTAGATTAATTCATTTTTTTGTTCTTTTAATTTTTTATTTTATTTATATATACAAGAGTTCTTACATTCTTGTACAGCCACCAGCACGCGTAGCGATCCGGGCAAGTTCTTAATCCTTGGGACTTAGGGAACTTGGGGAACTAGTCCCCTTGCTTGGGACTTGGGAATCGTTTATTGGTTTCCCGGAATACGACCCGCCAAATCGTTTGTTGGAATAGGCTTGTACAGAGGTCCCGCAAGGTGGAACTACTGACCTTCCTTATGCTGCAACTTCACAACAGTTGCCCCGGGTACCTCTTTGCTGCTAGGTAAACAGTCATTAGGTGAAGAGAAACGTGACCAGCCTTCTCTGTCCTCCCGGGGATCGAACCCGGGATCCCCAGTTGTCAGCCATGGGCTACCAGCACAGTGCTATTTATATCTAAGCTTGTTAATAAATCAATTAAAATTAAAAAAAAGTCCCAGAGCACCAAATTTAATAATAAGAATCAAAGAAAGTTAATAATTTCACGCTCATATTTATTATGCTTATCAGGTATAAAACTACTTTCTTAATGATGATATTTTTCAATTAACTTTTTAAAATCATTAATATAAGCAATGTTGTGAACAGGTTTTCTAAAATGCTTTCCTTTACAGAAATGTGTGTGTTATACCTGTTAATAGTAAAACAAAGAATTTACAGGTAGGCGGAGTACATAGCATTCCTAGGTAAGTGTCTGATTTAGAGCAGTCACCCCCCTTCAGTGGATGGTGTCTTGACGGGGTGATGGGGCTCTTGTCCTCCGCCCGTGGGTGGGAGAGGCCAGTGGTTCCTAACTTGCTGGGGTGGAAGGGGGTGGTTCCTAACTTGCTGGGGTGGGAGAGGCCAGTGGTTCCTGCTTGCTGGGGCGTTCCACAAGGGTAATATGCCCCCCCCCCCTCCTCGTATATTAGCTGTGTATGAAGGCCTATACATTCCCTTATGTTCTTTCATCTGGGAGTTGAACCTACCCAGCGACTGTGACACCTGGGGGAAAAGGGTTAACAAACTTCTCTGGTGAGGGGGACGGGGGTAAAATGGAAAGATCAGTGCTGTCCACCTGAACCAATCGGCTCGTCTGGTTAATGCCACTTAGACATTGGATCAAGTGGGTCATTGTAGGGTTGGTGCCTCTATTGGTCCCTGGGGTACCATTCAGCTCTTCAATGGAGGCTCACGTGTACTGTTCCGGTTTCCCCTGAGGGTGCTTGTCTGTGTGCTAGTGCCTCAAATGTGGCCCCCGGTGGTGACTGGGGTGCTTGGCAGCGTAGTTTTTCTCTGGTTTCTTTAAACAGCATGTTAGATTCCGAACCCTATATCCTTAGATTTGTGGGGTGGGCGACCAGGCCCCCAACTCAGATCCTATTCAGCTCTACAATATTCAACTCAGCTCCTATTCAACTCAGCTCTACAATAGCTGTGGTAGGCCCAAACTAGGCTCTGACTCACACTACCCCAACTAACCCTCTCCGTTACTCCTTGCATTTCTTTGGGAGGGTTGAGCCCGCAGTGGATTGAGCCCCCAGTGGGTTGAGCCCCCAGTGGGTTGAGCCCCCCCAGTGGTGACTACTTCGTCTCCTGGGGTGGGTACGTCTCTCGTTGTGACCACTGCACCGTTTAACCACATCCTTGATGGAGATTCACGGAGCCATCAACACGCGTGTACATCTTTGATTCTTTTCTACCACTGATACGTTCCAGGACTTGTGTGTCCCCACTATGTTGTATGACGAGAAAAATAGATGGTAGCGCAGTCTCTCTAGGCAGATGGAATGCCAGTCACATAAAAGCAACAAAAAGAACAAAAAAAAAGTTAAACTGCAAGTTGAATCTTTACTGTGTGACGACTGTAGGATAAAGCACAAAAGAGAACAAACATTTGAAATAGTTTACTTAAACAAATGACTTAAATACTTAACATGAAAATAAAAATAATATCCAAAACTTGGCTATATTCTAAGTATACAAAATGAACAAGATAAACAGACAATCAAATTTACGTTATGTTAAGGTGCAAAATAAAATATGGTGAGGGAATACTGTTAGCCAGACTGAATAACTCTGTTACCATACCAAGATATGTCAAAAGGTCTACTCAGTAGAGCACTCAGGAGTAATCTGAATTTTAGTGGGTTAGGTAGCCCTATATATATATATACGATGATGGCCATGCAGATGGCGCTGGTGACTTCGGTAACTATGAACTAGCTCACTTTTAACTGCTTCTTTGATATGGGGTGAGCTCCCAGCGACCCAGGTGCGAGGTGGGGTGACGGGCATTGGTGTATGGGGGGGACTGGAGGTACTGTCTAGAGTTTAGTTTAGTTCATTTATTATGCACCCCATACCCATCTTGTGGGCGGTAGTGGATAGGGTTACAGAGGCACATAATGGGCTCAGGGACTGAACCCCACAATTCATTTAGCTAAGCAAGTTACAATCTTGATGAGCTAGTTACAAAATTCAATATAAGTCGTCACATCAACAGTGGGTTCGAGATCGACCTCAAGTACAGGTTCTAAATTAAGCAACTGACATATGTGGAGAGCTAGTGTCAAAATTTATATGTTTGTCCTGCACACCGCCCCCATCCAGTGGGCAGCGGTGGATAGGTTACAATCACTCAGTTACTACCTACAGTTAGCAAACTGGGGATATTTGGCTAAAATTTCTGGTAGCAGATCATTTTGAATGAAATATTTACACATCGCTGGAACATTGGTTATAGAATTGTCTCTAAATTCACGTATCTTTTCGCACTCCGTCACATAGTGACGGAGGGTGTGCGAATAATTTTGTTGACACAGTTTACATTTGGTCAGGTCTACATCAGCAGATAATGAGAATTCCCAGAGATACTTGTAACCGAGTCTAAGCCGAGCAGTAGTAACATCTAGAAGTCTGCTGATTTTATTGGATGATCCATAGATGTGTGGCTCCTCTTGCATGATAGACTGTCTAGACCTCTGGAAGTAGTTGTCGTTCTTCTTCTTCTTGTGGCTGCAGTACTTAGTCTACCCATAGACGTGATATGGGTAGAATAGGTGATGATGGAGCAGGCCGAATCTCTTCATAGAGATGTTACCGTGACAGTTGTAAAACGGAAGGGGAACTATCAGAAGAAAGCGCTAAGTCATTACGGCTAAGGGATCAGGATAAGGATTTTGGATGAGACATTCAACAAGCTGCCGGCTTCCTGTGTCCGCCGAGGCCACTAGACAGATGGTAGCTGTCAGGTAAATTCATATAAATAATAAACAGTACGCCTAGTTTTTTCTCAAATATTCCACATAGTGCTATGAGGTGGGCGTGAACCTACGACCCCGACATTGCCAGTCGCATACTCTGCCACTAGACCACTATTGACTTGTATACGTCATCCCCCCTCCCCGATCAGCTCGTTGATGCCATGAGGGGGGGGGGCTTAGTGGGCAGCTGCCGGAGTGTGATGCTTCTTGGGACAGTCCTCTGTCCTTTTGTATCCTTGTGCTCCTGCTGCTGTCCTCTCAAATTGTGCTGAACAACTTTTCCTTTTTCTTCTGTTTCGTTTTTCTCCCCCCTCTTCTCCTATCTGCTTGTCGTTTCCTGCCGACCTTTTGCTTGTTTTGGTTATTCCTTTGGACTTCTTCTATTTGACGCCCGGGTGCTTGAGGAGGCATACTCTTGCACCCGTAGAACTGTAGTACCCAACGTCGAGAGCGAGGGGAACCTTTTATTGTCAATCTCCCTTTCGTCGCTGAACCCGATCTTGACGGACTGTCGGTTCTTAAGGTGGCGTTTGTGAGGCGTATACTCACGACGCACCCTCTAGGAGGCCCCTGCATGATCAGCGATAGCTTCTTGTTGGGTGTCCTGCCTCTAATTGTGGCTCCATGGTGGGTGTGGGGGCACATCCGTGAATGAATGTTTCTTT